CTCCAGGTTTAATGTAAGTTTCTTGACAACTAATCGCTGTAACAGTGCTTCTAAATTCTTGTCATGCTGGGTTTGGGTTTTACCCCATACAATAATATCGTCTGCGATATTTCGTACGCCGTGTAGACCTTGGAGCGCTTGCTGTATTGCATTTTGGAATACTTCTGAAGCACATGACAGACCAAATGGCAGGCGCTTATACCGAAACAACCCCTTGTGTGTACAAAAAGTGGTAATGTTACGCGAGTTCTCTTCTAGGACTATCTGATGGTATCCTGCTTTGAGGTCTAGCTTAGAAAACACGACAGCACCAGACATTTCTTCCATTAACTCATCAACTGTTGGGATTGGATGTCTCTCCCTTAACAATGCCTGATTTGTTCTACGGTAATCTCCGCATAATCTGATTTCATCTGAATTGTGTGGTTTGGGAGCAGCTACTATGGGTGATACCCATGAAGTAGGTCCTTCGGCAGGTTCAATAATATCGAGACTTTGTAATTCTTCTAGTTTATCTGAAACTTGCTTTCGTAAATGGAAAGGGACTCTTCGAGGGCGTTGTGCAATAGGGGTAACTGTACGATCAACATGCAATGACTGTTCATAATTTTGCAAACACCCTATTCCGTCAGAGAGTTCTGGAAATTTATCTAAAATTTTCTGTGTATTAATGTCAATGTTTTTCATGCTATTTCAGTCCCTTATTTCTCGATTTCCGGAGTCACTTTGACTGTCGCGTCACTTTCGTTTGAGTGGCTTCCGGTGTTGATTTCATTCCTACCTCGACTTCCGGTTGTTTTCATGCTATGAAATTTAGAGACTTCGTTAACTTTTATTTTTAAAATGCCTAACTCTGCGGCTGTTTCATTACCGAGAAGTGATCCCGCTTTGCCGTTGACAACATAAAACGTCGATATTGTACGCTTTCCATTCGATTCAACCGCTAAACGTCACTTTCCGAGCAATGGCAAGGGCTGAACGGCATTATATGCATATATATTTGTTTGTGTTGGCTCTAATTGTACATGTTGTTCAATAGTACAGGCGCTTTCGAATTCACACGTTTCGAATAGTGTACGTAGACGAGTTATGTAGCTATCTACCGATTCTCCAGGCGTTGGATGTGTCTGTTTAAACACATAGCGTTCATATATTACGTTCTTTTGTGGCTGAAAATATTCGTCAATCTTCTCTAGAGCTGTTTTGAAATCTGTCCCGGTGTCTTGTAGTGTTTTGAATATTTTATGAACCGACGGGACAGCTACATGCAATAACACTGCGCGTTTCTGTGCATCATCCTTGATGTTGGCAGCTACTGTATACATATTAAAACGTTCTCGCCATTCTTTCCAGCGTTGGGCTAGCGAGGAATTATCACCCTCTGCATCAAACGGAGGTGGTGGTTTTAAATCCAAAGTTGTGGCCATCGAGATTTCTTCTGTGTTCACTTCTTCTTCGTTTGGGTTCAGCATTAAAATAAACTCGTCGCCAAATATAATGTATCTCTTTAGTATAAGTTGTACAGCATAAAAATGTACTTTTATTGCCTTCAATATCAAAACCCTATTTTCTTACACGTGGTCTCTTTCTGATACCTAAATATATATTACATCACGTGACATGACGTGACTACATTACATGTGTAATTACAAAGAGGCGACAAATGGAAAATTTCTGCTCCTTGTTAGAAATAGTAGTCTGTGATGGCAATCGTGTAGGGGGGAGGGGTTGAGGACATCATTTTTCCGGTTAGATTCTTAGCCGATAACACAAGAAAAAGCAAAATGCTATCCAGTTAAGAAAGGAAACTTGCTGCACATCGCTTTATAAACACGTGATTTCTGTTAATATAATGTACCTGTATATAGAATTAACTTTTATATTTGAATGTCAATTTCTTACTGTTTTTTAAACTTGTAATAAATTGTTATTAGAAAGCAGTATATAGCTATATGCAGGTTCACGCATGAGCCATGAGCCAGAGATTCATGTATGCCCTAACAGGTTGCCAGACTACATGCAACGGACAGTTTTATAGCTGCATTCCGTATAAGTATATACTACTATATAGATTAGCTGCATATAGTAGCGATTGATACACCGGGTGGAAAGCGTAATTTAAAAATGAAAATTAAAGCCCAGCAAATGACTTTCAGACAAGACATAACAAAATATAAAATTTATTGGCTAAAGTTTCGTTGTATTGTTCACAACATCTTCAGAGCAATTAATATACAATTACTTTATGGTTTCCGTGTTTGGATGGCCTGATCCAAACACGCGGGAATGTTGCGAGAGTTAAGAAAAGCGAGCGAAATCACGAGCCAAAGGCGAGTGATTTTGCCCGCTTTTCTTAACTCGAGCAACATTCCCAAGTGTTTGGATCAGTCCATCCAAACACGGAAACCATAAAGTAATTGTTTTATAAAATAACAACAACACGATAGTCTTCCGTGTTTGGATGGCCTGATCCAAACACGGCTTTTGATCAATCAGAACACGCGTTATATACATATTATTTTATAAACTTATTTACAAGCGTGTATTATATATATGCAAATAGTTTCAAACGGTTACAATATTCAAATAAGCGAATAAGAGGAAGGATGAAAAACAACCTGTCATTAAAAGCAATAGTATTAGTAAATTAAAGAAATAATGGTTAGTAATTAGAGACCTAGCAAAGCATTAGAAAAGGTCAAGAGGAGTTGACCTAATGTTAAAATACTCATTAATAATTCATAAACCTTTTGGGAAATCATGTCAGCCATAATATGTCACGTGGAATGACTTTATATCTGATGGAGCATGAGGCATTATATAATGGTTCATCCTCATTAGTATGATTATATAATGGTTCATCCTAATTAGCATACTTTTGTATTCGTATTTTAAGCTATTCAAAACATTCGTTGTCGTGTTTTATCAGATATATAACGCTCGGCTGCGCCTCGCGTTATATCTCTGATAAAACACTCCTACTCGTGTTTTAAATAGTACTTAGCATTTAAAGTAGGATTAAGCTTGGATATGAAGAGGCTTTCGCGAATGAGTAAATCTGCTTCAGAACTAGCAGTGGAAAGGATTTTAAAATCAGAGGGTGAAATTTGATGTTTAGTGGTATGGATATGAGCGAGTATGCCTGACATGGTTGAAACAGAACGTTTCTTTCCAGTCAAAGGTGAAACACCCATGTGTTCAGAGATACGCGTGTGTACGTGTCGGCGGGTTTGACCAACATACAATGCACTACAGCTTTGACACTTATACAAATACACCACATGTGATCTCAGTTCACCGGGAATTTTGTCCTTAAATGGAAAGAAATTGGAAAGACGGAAAGAAGGACGAAAGACGACACGTTAAGAAATGTGTGGATAGGCAGAAGAAAGAAATTTCTGAAGTTGTGATCGAATTTGCAAACCATGATGACCAGTGAAAGGAAGACAAAAATATATAACCTTTTTCGAGCAAGTGTGAACTTTATCACGAGAATTATACATTTTATCAAGAAATGATTTGATACAATTATCCACAAGTGTTGCAGGATAACCATTAAGAGAGAAGGTTTTCTTAATTTTTTCCATTTCCGAATGGAAAAATACATAAGAAGAGCAAATGTTGAAATAACGAGAGATATAAAGTGAGAAAAGTAAACTTTTTTGTGCAGCATTGGAATAAAACTGTCAAAATTGGTAAACAATCCCGTGAAAGTAGATTTTATATTTTGTTATGTCTTGTCTGAAAGTCATTTGCTGGGCTTTAATTTTCATTTTTAAATTAGCTGCATATATATAATGTAAAATGTGTGGTACGTTCTGTTGTAAATATGGCAAAGACAAACGATTAAAAATAAATCAACCCTTTTTCTCTGTTAATTTGACTATAGCCTTCAAAGTTTTTGGAAATAGAAATTTCCTGTGTATTAAAACCCTGCTTCAAAAAAGAAGGAGCTTTGCATATAAACGTTGCAGTATAAACAAAAAGCATTCGCTCGAAACGTCGAAGTTCAAGTTATATTTTCCAGTAGGTTGTTTATCCTTCACAACGCAGATGTCTGTTTTCTTCTCCACATACGTTGACACCGTTCTTTGGAAATTATTTAAATGCACGGAATATAAAACAGTAATGTAACACATTTTCACAATTAAAATGATCTGAAAGTTTATGCTACATTGATTAGAATTTGTTCTTTAATAGATAAAATATTCATTCAGATTATATAAAGTCAAGCGCATCGAACTCTTCAATCGATGTTGTGCTAATGTTAATACACCTTTCCGCGGAAAGTGCGTCACTTTTGCTATAGAGCCACGTTTTCGTGTATCAGACATCAGCCGGTTAAAGGCCGCGTCTCAATTACGAAAACGAGGCTCTATAGCCAAGGTGACGTACTTTACGGAGGCGGGTATTAAAGGAAAACTATTGACTGCTAAGGTCTTTCATCTAAGTCGGGGAAGTGACATATAGAATTTCAATGGAAAGTTCAAACATTGTTTTAACCAGACACTTATCTACTTGATAACCGAATGCAACAGCACGCCAACGCAAAGCAACTATACAAAGGTTTAACCTTTGGAAATTTACGAGTTGCATCCAAGTAATCAAGATTGTACTACATGGTTAATTAAACTATTTTAGATTGTTTTTGGTTGTAATATAACAACTGAATAAAAATAAAGATTGTACCGAAGAAACGATAAGAAAAGAAACTTCACAAAACAATTACACATCCATTTGTGCCAGGGCTCAGTCTTTTCAAGTACATGCATGGACGTGACTAATAGGTTTCGAGTCTGTAATATTATCACAGACAACGCGTGTATTAAAAGTAATAAGCACAAGCGACTACAAACATTTAATGACACTAGTATTTATACTGTAATTACAAACATGCAAATCTACTGAATATATTATTATAATACTGAATATATTGCAATTTCTCGTTTTTCTTGTTGTTTTTTTTTTATAATAGTTTGGTACTTAAAGTATTATAAATAAATTTAATGATTAAATAAAGTCTTTCTTTGTCTCCTTCTAAATTTTTTTGTAAATGTTTACTTCCTAATGTTTTAAGTTCCTGCTTGCAACCGTTATGGTGGTTTGCTCATTCGGCCACTTCTTGTCCCACGCTTTTGACTTCTCTGCTTTAACATCTCGCTCTGCACTGCTGTATCATGCATGGTTGTCTCATCGTGGCTTCCGAAGAAACCATTCCATCTTCAATCAAATAGCTCTTTCTTCAATGGATCGTGTTGTTTTCTGATATGAACTCGATTTCTTCTAAACTCCTGCTCATTTGGAGTTCTAACGTTGTCCGATCTCGGAGGTGACAATTTCGCATCCACTGTGTCTTCTTTTCATCGATCACGCACCTGTACTCAAATTCTTTCTCCTTCTTTCAATGGTGGTAAAGCTCGTGATCCAATATCATAATACCTCTTCTGATACTATTGCTTCTTAATTTCGTAGCTTCACTTCAACTGCTTTGGGATTGATAATCTGCAGTTGCAACTGACTTGTGGTTGTCGGTAGAATAGACTTAAGTCGGCGACTCATCAGCAATTGTGATGGAGGACCAACATCATCGATTGGTGTGTTCCGATATTCAAGAAGACTCAGATAAGGATATTTATCATCCGCTTTAGCTTTTGTCAGCAATCTTCTAACTGTCTGAACAGCTTTCTCTGCCAAACCGTTGGATTTAGGATAGTAAGGACTAGATGTCTGATGTCCAAATAACCATTCTTAAGAGAATTGCTTGTACTCCTGAGCTGTATATTGCGGATCGTTATCGCTTCGAACAACAGATGGTATACCATGTCTGGCGAAAATAGACTTGGGATGATTGACAACTGTTCGACTTTTGGTGTCGTCTAACTTTGCAACTTCCACATAACGAGAGTAGTAGTCTACCACTAATAACTAATCTTTCTGTTCCCAATGAAAAAGATCTGTGACGACTGTTTCCCACGGTCTGCTTGGTAATGGGGATTCAATCATTGGCTCTTTTGGGTTTGATGACAGATGTTCTTGACAAATGTCACACTTGGATATCAGGTCATTGATCTGTTCGTTCATGTTTGGCCAGAAAATGATATCTCTCCCTCGACCTCGACATTTCTCAATTCCCATATGGCTATCATGGACTCGAGCTAACATCTCACTTAGTAACACTATTGGTATGACTATCCTGTCTCCTTTCATAATGACACCCTCGATCTCTGACATTTCATCCCGATAATTCCAGAACTCGTGGATTTCTATCGGAGTCTGCTGTCTGTACTGCGGCCATCCTCTACGAATCACCGTCAAAAGAAATATCATCGTCGGATCTTTTGGTTTTTCTTCTCGAATCTTCTCCAGTTTATCTGTTGATACAGGTATTCTGTGCAAAACAGAGTGTGTATGATACTCGACTTCGTCTTCCACGTGGCTTTCATCTGGCTCTGAGTTTGGAACATATGCTCTGGAAAGAGTGTCTGCGAGTACCATTTCTTTACCAGGCTTGTACTTTGCGATAAAGTCATATCTTTGTAGGCGCAATAATATTCTTTGTAGGCGAGGTGGTGCCATCGAGAGAGGTTTCTTGGTTATCGCTTCGAGTGGTTTATGATCCGTCTCGACTTCCACGGGTCGCGCATAGGTGTGCTGATTAAACCTTTTGAACCCAAATACTACGGCTAGCAGTTCTTTTTCGATTTGGTGTACCTCGTTTCTGCATCAGTCAAGGCTCTTATGCATATGCAACGGGCTTTGAATCCTGTAACAACACCGCTCCCAGGCCTGATTTAGAGGCATCACAAGTTATTGTCACTGGTTTGCGAACGTCGTAATAAGCTAGTACTGGCTCAGCATTGGGATTTCTTTTATTTTCTGAAACGATTCTTCTTGACGGCTGCCCTACTCGAATTGCACGTCATTCTTCATCACGATTTTAGTCTGGTCGGTGATAGTAGACATGTTGGGGATAAATTTCGCAGTTGACCATTCTGCGACTTTCTTGCAAGAAGGTGAAGTGACTCGATTGGTTTAACCCCTTCTGCGGTTAGTTTATGACCAATGTACACGACTTCAGTTGTACCAAATTCGCATTTCCTCTGGTTTAGGGTAAGGTTGATTTCTTCACACCGCTGTAAAGTATACTTCAGACGCTGATCATGTTCTTCGGTTGTGGTACCCCAAACTAAGATATCGTCAACGTCGGTCTCTACGCCTTCGAGATCACCGAATGATTGGCTCATACGCTTCTGAAACACTTCCTGGGCGGACTTAATTCCAAAAGACATTCGCTTATAGCAATATCGACCAAATTCCGTGTTAAACGTTGTTAGCAACTGGCTTTCGTCATCTAATGCGACTTGCCAATAGCCGTGGTTAGCGTCTAACTTCGAAAACACCGTAGCTCCTGCGACACGTTATTTCTTCAATGGTTGGCATCGTGTAGTGCTCTCTCTGGATCGCTTAGTTTAATGGTCTTGGGTCTAGGCAAATCCGTAACTTGTTGCTGTTAGGTTTCATTACCACTACAACAGAATTGATCGACTTTCTCGATTACCCCATCTGCTTCCATTTCATCCACGGACTGTTTAAGTCGATCTCTCAGCGCTACCGGTTGACTCTTCAATGTGCTCACAACTGGAGTAACTTTCGAGTCCACTTGGATATGATAGGGTTTCTTGAAACAACCAAGCCCTTGAAAAACTTTAGGAAATTGACTGGCCATATCATTGACAGATTTCGCCGTCGTATTTTCTCGCTTTGATAACTTTACGTTCATAACCAACTTGATTAAGTTCAGATCTTTCGAGGTCTGTAAACCCAAGATAGGAACTTGCTTCGTCTCAACAACAAAAAACTTCTAAATTTTGTCATTACATTTCAAGTAACATTGTCCCAATACCGGCAAATGTTCTCCCGTGTAGCTTGTGAGTTTGACTGCTGTCGTCTCGAGCTGGACATCTTCTAAACTTCTAAACGTTGTTACGCTACGGTGAGTATATCAGCTTGCGAACCGGCAGCGCAGGTTTTACA